CTCCTCCTCCTCCTCCTCCTCCTCCTCCTCCTCCTCCTCCTCCTCCTTCTTCCATATCCATCACGGACGTTAGTGATCCTATTGGCGATCCTATTTTTAATCAACAGCCATACAAAAAAGTGCTGCTGAGTTTTTTTCCAAACCGGTCCCTCCCTTTAATTTTGAAGCCATGATTTGTCATGTTGTCATCTACCCATCTTGAAACATCTGGATTCTGAAATATCTAAGCTTCTTCAGTGTGTCCCTGACTTCTCGCTGGCTTTTTTCTTAAAAAAAAACCAAAAAGAAAACCTCCAATGACTTCTCCAAGATGTTGTATGATACCCAGCCCTTCTGCCCACTGACGTCTTGCCTTCTTTAGTCCTTCCAACCACCCTCCATCCACTCCCCCAGCCATTCCTACCGAGCACCCTCTCTCCAAGTCCTCCCAGCTCCAGGTAGGCATTCTGAAAAGCTTCCTTCATTTCTTCATCAAGAGGCTGTTCTTTGCCTTGGAACAGAATGGTGGAGCATCGGTCCAGGATACGCTCAGGGGCCCCCTTCATCACCAGCAGGTAGCGGTTATCGTTGGGATCTTCTGTCTCGTGAATTGAGAGCTGCAACGGGAGCAGAAATCTCTCAGGATCCAAAGAACATTCCCAGATTACAACAGGAGAAGAGACTGCTTAACACAGGTTGCTCTATTACCATCTGGCAGACGGTACAGGATAATACCCTGTTTCCCTGAAAATACAACCTACGCTGAAAGTAAGTCCTAGCTTGATGTTTACACGTGCGCCCAATATAAGCCCTATCCCCAAAATAAGCCCTAATTAAGATCCCGCCCATTCCAGAGTGGACGGGTAAAAATTAAGCTAGGGTGGGGATTGGGGGGGTGGAGCTGCCCTACTACTTACCTTTGGGCAGTTGTAGCCAGGCCTCGCACACCCTGATACCTGCCTTGCCGGCCCATTTCTTCTACAGCCAGCAAGGCTGGGAAGGCTTTCCTGAAGGCCTCTGTAGATGATAACAAAGCTCCAGATCGATCCAGAGCTCTGTTATTGGCTGCAGAGGCCTCCAGGAAAGCCTCGATGGCCACAGAAGAAGAAGTTCCTGAGACCTCTGAAAGCGAAAAGGAGGCCGGGGCCAACGTGCACAAGTGAAGTTAGTCAGTGGATGACATCCCTCGAAAATAAGACCTGGTGCCTTTTTTGGTGGCAAAAAATATATAAGACAGGGTCTTATTTTCGGGGAAATGCGGTAATAAAAACAAGGACAAATAGGCTGCAAAACAGCTTCTATCCCAGAGCAGTAACTATATTGAATTCTACTGTATACAGTGCAATATGAATCAATATCAGGGGTTTTCAATTCAATTGTATAGAAGGCGAAGGATGTGTGTTTGTGTTTTATTTTTATAGTTACAGTGTACACTGAAGATGACATTGTACGAGGTGCAATGACAATAAAGTAAAGTAAATTAAACTCATGGAATGAAACACAGAGCGACAAAATGTGATGCCTATAAAAGCAGGCAAAGTTTATATGGCTTGGGGGGGTCCTTTGTGCTCTTCTGAGCTTGGTGGTTTTGTTACAGTGTACTGATGATGTTCCCTAGTGTGGTAACAAAACGCCTGTCAGAAAACCACCAAGGTCAGAGTGCACCAAGGATCTCCACCATTCAGCCCCGAGCTGCAAATATTCTCTTCGAAAGTTGGGATCGCCTGTGACAATCACCTTGGTTTGTTTTATCACGCCCTGGAAAAAGCGACAACAACATTACATCGGTGTCCCCAAAGTGCTTTTCCAAAAGGCAAAACTGGATTTTGTTTTTTTTCTCTTGAAGGCGTTTCGCTTCTCATCCAAGAAGCATCTTCAGTTCAGGAACTGAAGAAACTTCTTGGATGTGAAGCGAAACGTCTTCAAGAGGGAAAAATAAGCAAAACAAAATCCAGCTGCCGTTTGAACAAGCGCTTTGGGCACAACCATCTCTGTAAATATTACATCAGCCATCCGATGCTAGCCAACGTCTCTGCTGGATTTGGACCTATGCAACAATCGCTGCAACGCATATCAATATTACATAGAAGCATCCACCCCTTCTCTCTCTGGAAATGATTTGCCCATTTTATTCCAGGTCACAGCACACCGGGAATCCTAGCTAATCCTTTCCATACGTCGGCCGTAAAAGATGGGGATTAAAGCTGAGAGGCCTTTGATTCCCAGAATGTGGGGACTTTATTGGCTCTACAATTTGAGAATGGAGAACCTAAGCAAGGCGGTTCTGATATACAAAGCTGGCCAGATACACGTTTCATGATAAACGAATCCAAGCTTCCAAATTATGCATTTTTCTTCTTCTTTTGTATATGGTTGTTGTTTTTCTTTTTGAAAAAAGGGTTGGAGGATTCAAATTAGAATAGTTCTAATTACTGCTTATAATTGAATCTATGATTGAGCCCAAAACTTCTGTTGCTAAGTGAGACATGTTCAGTGAGTTTTGCAACGTTTTGTGATCTTTCTTGCCACCGTTGTTAAGTGGATCACTGTCATTGTTAAGTTAGCAACGCGGTTGTTAATTGAATCTGGCTTCCCCATTGGCTTTGTCAGAAAGAAGAGCACGTGACCCCTGAATGCTGCATCCGTCATAAATACGAGTCGATTGCCAAGTGTCTGAATTTTGATAATGTAACCATGAGGGATGCTGCCAAGGTCGTTGTCAGGATTCCAGCAGTTATTCCAATTAAATCATGAGTCTTGAGCCAAACTTCCAAAATTTAAAAAGGATTTATTGGGAGTTAACATGCCAGCACTGCCTGGATGTAGCCGACTCTAATTCATTGTCATCCTTGACCCTGGTTTCTCTCCCCCCGCCCCCGTATATCATAATTCATGTTCTCCAATGAGACACATCCATAGCCAAGAATCATCAATCATGTTCTCCAATTAGAGATTTGCACAGCAGAAACTTCAGCCGCCTAGTTACTATCTTTGAAAAACTATTTACGGAATGCACTTTTGATTTCCAAGCTGCCGCACTGCTCTTTCAAACCCCCTTCCCCCCTCCTTTTCTGTTGGCAACTCGAAAACAACCATAGAAATATTTTTATGAGTTGACAGTCATATGTTGCTTTTTTCAGTGCCATTAGAACTTTGAATGGTCATTAAATGAACTGTTGTAAGTCGAGGACCATCTGTACTTACTATGGTGTTAATTCTAAAACCAAATTAGGCCAAAAGAGTTCTAATTACTATCCGTTCTTTATTTTTTTTTAATGTAAGAAAATAAACAACGTTGGAAATCAAAATATGTTTTCAGTGCGAGCTACACCTAAAAAAGCCATCTTCAGTGTTTGTTTTTTTAAGTGGGGCTGCTCAACACCCTTAGATTTGCTTTATTTTTTAATTCAGGAAGAACTTCGGTTGATATCAACGGTATCCAATCGTGGCAACTTTAAGACCTGTGGACTTCAACTCCCAGAATTCCCCAGAGGGTGATGCTGACTAGGAATTCTGGGAGCGGAAGTCCATCAAACCTTAAAGTTGCCACGGTTGGACACCCCTGGTTTAGAGGAAAGGTTACCCAACCCTAGAGCCTCTTTGAGGGACACTCAGGGACCCATACCTGGTATTTATTGGTGGAATTGAAGGGGATTTCTGCCACTTTTTTGTTCTTCTCCCTCATCAGCTTCACCGATCCAGACGACAGCTCGATGCATTTCAAGAGGGCCGATTCCGAAGCATCTCCTGCTACGTCGCGCTTGGGGGTGAAATAGGATCATTTTAACGTTCTGTGTTTGGACATGCAGCCTGGCCTTCTCTCCCTACCGCTCCCCATCTCCTCACCACCCCAATGATGGAACTAACAACATTCATAAGTGTAGGAAGCAATGCCCTAGGACAGTGGTTCCCAACCTTTTCTTCGCCCCGCACCCCTAAAGAAATTTCACTCGAACCTCGCACCCCCTGAAATTTAGACTTTAGGAACTACTGAACGCGTTAAATATATGGTAGGATTGAATCTTTTCAGCTATGTATGTGACGGCCGCTAAATAACGATACTTAACTCTAACATGAAAACAAAGTTAATCCATTGCATAATAAATAAAAATGCCAACATATAGCCAATATCCTATTATTTACCTGGACTTTTCTCGCACCTCCTGGAATATCGTCTCGTACCCCCAGGGGGTGCAAGCACCCCAGGTTGGGACCCCCTGCCCTAGGAGAACATGGGCGGCTAGCTTAGATGGGTTCAAAAACGTCCAGTATAGCTCTTGGAGGAAAGTCTATCACAAGGTACCAGACAGGAGTGGGATTCTGCCGGTTTGGACCAGTTCAAATGAACCGGTAGTTCCAGCGATTAGTTGGGCCCCACCCGCCAATTCTTGCCCTAGTCTTTCCTTTATTTCTGTTATTTTTGCAGCCTAGCTGATTCGCGCGGCAAAGCAGTTGGCCGCATCTCAGCTGTTTCAATCACCAGGGCTGCAGCAGAAGTTTTAGAGCCAAAAATAAGCGGTTTTCAAATGCTGCGTGCGCAGAGGTGGTATTCAGCAGGTTCGGACCAGTTCTGGAGAACCAGTAGTGGACATTTTAAGTAGTTCAGAGAACCAGCAAATGCCACCTCTGACTGGCCCCGCCCCCGTCTATTCTCCGCCTCCCATTGAGTCCCAGCTGATCGGCTGGGTCTCCTTTGGTTGCCCTGCACAGGAGAACGGAGCTGGAAAGCAGGTTAGCGGGGTGGGGAGGGAATGGGGATTTTGCAGTCTCCTTTCCCTGCCACACCCACCAAGCCACAGAACCGGTAGTAAAAAAAAACTTTTTTGAATCCCACCACTGTGCGTGCGTGTGCAAAGCGCACGCTCACCAAACCGGTTGTTACACTGGCTGAATCCCACCCCTGGTACCAGACCTGATGACCAAGTGAAGCTTCCAGGCATGGAGTCAGTCTACTTCTATGTAGAGAGTGTATGTGAGCAACCACAGATGTCTTGATCTCCTAATGGGGAAGTTTCCTAAATGTATCAGGTGGGCCACCAAGTAATTTGGATCTAGGCCTGATCCAGCAAAGCCTATTTTCAGGTTCTCATCTGTCATCATGCAAATAGAAAGTAACGTATGTTTTTGACACTTGACCTTCGACCCTCACATCTTCACCTAGTCCTTATCTCCAGCGCAATGACCCTTCTCAATTTTCTAGGGCCCAGCTGATGTCTCCTCCACTCACCTTGAGGATGGGCACATTTTCTTGACCTCCCTTGAAGACTGCTCGGTTGCAAAGCCCAGCAATATGAGACAAGGCCACCCAGGTGGCGGAGCTCTTATCAAAGGCCGTGCCTGCAGTGAAAAATAAAGGAAGATGTTGAGGAGTGAAGTTCTAGGACCATGATGGTGAACCCATGGCACGTCTCTCTGAACATGCCAGCCATCTCCTGTTGCTCTTCCGTGTTATGGTATGAGCATGTATGCCGGCCAGCATGTGGGAGGGCCGGAAATTGGAAGAGCAGCTCCCCAGTGTGTATGCGCATGCTGGGAAGTTGAGCTTCTGGTTTCTGGCACACACATGCACATGGGCCAGCTGGTCTTCACGCACGCACACGCACCAGAAACTGGAACACCAGGTGGCCAGTGCTCATGCCGGAAACCGGAAGCTGAGCTTCCCGGTATGCACATGCGTGGCGGGAAACTGCTTTTCCAGTTTCCGATGCTCCCCCGTGCACATGCTCCCTGTTGTGGTTAGCCGGCAGCAGGTACAGATGGTGGAGGAGAGCGAGGACTCGGAGGAGGGGCCGGGACCATCAGGGGGTGGACTGCTGCCTTCAGGAATGGTGGGGGCTGGCAGCAGTGAGGAGGAGGTTCCCGAGGAGCCTGTGCCAAGTGTGCGTGAGCGCAGGATGATTCGTAGAAGAGAACAGCTGAAGCTGCACGGATGACTTGGGAGTAGGGATGCAATGTAATGGCCCCTCCCTCTAGGGAATATAAGCCTGGTTTCAAAAGGTTTTTGTCTTTGCAAAAGGCAAAAAAGTTCAAAGGACTCAGTGTGATGATTACAGACTCTGATTTTTTGAAGATTTCTGCCAAGGTTTTCCTAATTGGACTAATTGGCTGCAAGCCATCTGTTATCTGCAAAGAGGTTTATTTGTAGATTAAAGCCATGAATGTTTGAGTTCCTGAGTTTATCTGTGTTTGCTCTCGGGGAATTTGGCTGGGTCAGAACACTCCTATTTCAGCATTCGGCACCGAAAAGGTTCGCCAACACTGTTCTAGGACGTTAAAAAAAGAAATAACTTGAACTGGAGGCCAAGTGTCAACCCCGAAACTGTCCTGACCAAAGCCATTTCATCTGCTTCAGTGTTGCTGCGCTGGAGCTGAGGATCAGGGAGGGGGGAATTTGAGATAGAAGGATTTCTGTAGTCGAAACAAAATCCTTTCTCTTGGGAACCAAGGACATTCTCACACTTGGAAGGACAAAGGTGGAGTGGTGCCACCCAGTTGTACAATGATTGGAGCATGTGACCGATCCATTTTGAGAAAGAAGAAAATCTGTTACTTTTAATGCGGTGAAAAACGCGGGGAGTTTTTAGAGTCGGTTTTCACCAGATATGTGCCAATATGGTATTTCCAATAAAAGCAATATTTGAAGAACTCAACGGCTCCGAGTCTTGCTTGCAATGGATTTATTACTTGGAACCCTAACATTAAACCCACTCTTTGACACCGGGGAGAAAAGGGGAAATTGGGTGAAGGAGAAAGAGTAAGGGAGAAATTGTGAACAAGAGGAAGATGGAATTTCAGTCAAAGTTCTACATAATGCCTTTCTCAGTCTGTTGCACATAATTCTCTCCATACAAAGCAAAACTTGGGAGCATCTTTCGTGACTCTAGATCGGGGGGGTCTTCAATCTTGGCAACTTTAAGACTTCAACTCTCAGAATTCTGGGAGTTGAAGTCCACAAGTCTTAAAGTTGCCAAGATTGGAGACCCCCCGATCTAGAGCTAAGCTAGAGATCCGAAGAAGACGTGAAACCCCCTCAGCTTCCTATTCTTTCACCTTACAAAGAGGTCATCTGTCAACTCTTCTTAATGCAAGATAGGAAAAGGATCCTTGTAATCTCTTCCCCTCCACCCCAATAATCCTCACCAGATTGATCCTCGGTGGTATCAGCCTCATGGATCTGGTTGTCAAACCACATGTGAGCAACAGTCATTCGGTTCTGAGTCAGGGTCCCTGTCTTGTCCGAGCAGATGGTAGAGGTGGAACCCAAGGTCTCCACAGCTTCCAAGTTCTTCACCAAGCAGTTCTTGCGAGCCATGCGTTTGGCGGTCAAGGTCAGACACACCTAAATGGGAGGAAGGAGACTTAGCGATGGGCTGAAGGAAAGGGCTCCCATCAGAGATGCCCAAACTGGCATTTCCCTTGAAACCCAAGAGTGTTCCAATATCTAAGAGGCCGCCACATAGAAGAGAGAGTCAAGCTATTCTCCAAAGCACCTGAGGGCTGGACAAGAAGCAACGGGTAGAAACTAATCAAGGAGAGAAGCAACCTTAGAACTAAGGAGGAATTTCCAGACAGTCAGAACAATTAATCAGTGGGACATCTTGCCTCCAGAAGTTGTGGATGCTCCATCACTGGACATTTTTAAATGTTAACTCATAAAATATTTCTATGGTCTGTTTAGAGTTGCCAACAGAAAGGGAGGGGGGAGCAGCGTAGCAGCTTGCAAACTGAAACTGCAATCCATAAATGTTTTCAAAGACAGTAACTAGATGACTCAAGTTTCTGCCGCGCAAAATTCTAACTGGAGAGCATGATTGATGACTCTGGGCTACGGATGTGTCCCATTGGAGGATAGGAATTACGATACACCCAGGAGGTGGGGGAAAACCAGGGTCAAGGGTGACAGTGTCTCAGAGTCGGCGATACCCAGGCAAGTGCCGGACATGTTAACTCCCAATAAATCCTTTTGAAGTTTTGGAAGTTTGGCTCGAGAGTCATGATTTAAATGGGGGGAACCGACGGACTCCTGATAGCAAGTTGTAGATGCTTCATCACTGGAAGAAGAGATTGGATAATTGTTTGTCTGATATGATATAGGGTCTCCTACTTGAGCAGAGGATTGGACTAGTCCAGGTGTCTCCAACCTTGGCAACTTTAAGACTTGTGGACTTCAACTCCCAGAATTTGCTGGCTGAGGAATTCTGGGAGTTGAAGTCCACAAGTCTTAAAGTTGCCAAGGTTGGAGACACCTGAACTAGACGCCTCCAAGGCAGTGGTGGGATTCAAAAAATTTTACTACCGGTTCTGTTGGCGTGGCTTGGTGGGCATGGCAGGGGGAGGATACTGTAATATCTCCATTGCCTTCCCCCTCCTGGGGGAAGGTTACCACCGGTTCTCCGAGCTACTCAAAATTTCTACTACCGGTTCTCCAGAACTGGTCAGAACTGGCTGAATATCACCTCTGCCCCAAGATCCCTTCCAACTCTGTTACGCTGTTTTTTGTTTTTTTTTCAAAAAGTGAGCTCAACTTCACATCACTTTTTTCTTCTAATGGAATAGTGAGACATCATTATCATCACCACCTTTGGGAAACCAAGATGAGATATCAATTTTAAAAGCTTTTTAAAGAGATATAACAGAATAACAGAGTTGGAAAAGGACCTTGGAGGTTTTCTAGTCCAATAGCAATAGCACTTAGACTTATATATCACTTTATAGTGCTTTACAGCCCTTTCAAAGCTGTTTACAGAGTCAGCCTATTGCCCCCAACAATCTGGGTACTCAGAATAGAATAGAATAGAATTCTTTATTGGCTAAGTCTGATTGGACACAAAGGGAATTTGTCTTGGTGTAAATACTCTCAGTATACATAAAGAAAAGATACATTAGCTAAGAATCAAGAATCATAAGGTGCAACACTTAATGATAGTCATAGGGTACAATCAACAATAAAACCATACTAGGAAACAGTCAGTATAAATCGTAAGGATACAAGAGACAAAGTTACAGTCCTACAATCACAAGTGGGAGGGGATGGGTAATAAGGAGGGATGAGAAGATTAACAGTAATAGTAGTGGAGACTTTGTAATAGTTGAACAGGGTAGAGGGAATTATTTGTTTAGCAGAGTGATGGCTTTCGGGGAAAAACTGTCCTTGTGTCTACTTGTTCTGGTGTGCAATGCTCTATAGCATCATTTTGAGGGAAGGAGTTGAAACCGTTTATGTCCAGGATGTGAGGGGTCTGTAAATATTTTCACAGCCCTCTTTTTGACTCGTGCAGTATACAGGTCCTCAACTGAAGGCAGGTGGGTAATCATTGTTTTTTTCTGCGGTCCTAATTATCCTCTGAAGTCTGTGTCTGTCCTGTTGGGTTGCAGAACCAAACCAGACAGTTTACTGACTTCAGAAGGATGGAAGGCTGAGTCAACCTTGAGCCCCTCACGATCGAACTCCTGGCAGTGGGCAGAGTGATCCTGCAATGCTGCATTCTAACCACTACAGCCCAATACTCTGCTCAAGCAGGAAAACCTATACCATTTCAGACAAAAATAAAATAAAATCCAGTATTGGAGCACTCACAACTTCTTCAGGAAAGTAGTCCCGCTGGATTAGTTGTGCTGTCGGAAAACGTCTCCTTCCTTCTAGGTTGCTTCTCTCCTTGATTAGTTTCCATCCGTTTTCTCTAGGAAGTTCTTTGGTCGACTTCTTGTCTGGTACTTACTGTGACTGTAGCCAAGAGTCCTTCGGGGACATTGGCCACGATGATGCCAATCAGGAAAATGACAGCTTCCAGCCATGAGTAGCCCAAAATGAGAGAGAGCACGAAGAAGGAGACGCCCAGAAAGACAGCCACGCCTGTGATCAGCTGGATGAAATGCTCGATCTCTCGAGCGATGGGGGTCTTGCCAACTTCCAGGCCCGAAGCCAAGGTGGCAATTCGACCCATCACTGTCCGGTCGCCGGTGGCAATGACAACTCCACGTGCTGTGCCTGGTGGGAGAAGAGACAAATCGGTGGGCATACGTTCTCCATCCAATTTTCGGCACATGTAAAAAAATTTCCAGATCTAGTGGGGGCCTACAGCTCCTAGAATTCCCATTCCGGGTTGAAATTCTAGAAGTTGTCATCTCTACTTGGAGATCTCTGCTGTGGTTTTGTGTTGGATGTTCACTGCCCACAGCCGTATTTAAATGAATTTAGGAACCACGGTTTGATAACAGAACCGTAACTTGCAAATCTCTCCGAGTTCCTTGAGGAGAGAGAGACAAACCGTTAAGCTAATTTAGGATGAGAGCGTAGGTGTCAAGCCTCAGGGACATCAGAAGATCCGGGCAGTTCAAATAACTATAAAGATTTATTGCAAGCTTAAGTTCTCTACAAGAATCTGAACTACTAACAGTTAAAGCAAATAGCCAGTAGCTAAGAATCAATGGAATTCGAGGTGGGCTGGGCTCAGATCTCTTGTTGTCATGAAGGGACTCGAGACTGTGAGGTGCTTGACGCCTCCCTCAGGCTCAGCCTGGTGAACTCCTACATTAGCTAAGCCCTTACTGAATTACTCTAGATTCCTCTCTAGCAATCCTTCTCATAAAGGCAGACATATGCCCTAGCAATCACAAAGTCAATAGAAATTAAAAAAAACTACTATAGTGGTGCAGGTGCCTAGGGGTGGAGCGCTCACCTCACGATCAGGAGGCTATGAGTTCAATCCTAGGTAGAGGCAGATATTTCTCTCTCTGGGCACACCGAGAACATATCTGCTAAAAAAAACAACCCCTCCACATTGGTGACAGGAAGGGCATCTAGCCAGTAAAACACGCTGCTAGCTCCGTTCCGTTGCCCAGACACCACTCCGCAAGGGATTATGCGGTTGTTTAAAAGAGGATGATTGCAGCTCACGTGATTAAAAAATAAAAGAAATAAAAAAATAACGATGTTTTCTTAAATCCGTGTTTTTAAAATTGGGCAAGTTTAAGATGTGTGGACCAACTCCCCAAATTCTCCAGGTAAAGGACAACAACAAGGCCCTACCTTCGACGCAGTTGGTAGAGAAAAAGGTGATATTCCTGGTCTCGAGAGGATTGTCGTGGGTACAATCTGGAGAACGGGTCTGAGGCTCGGATTCACCCGTCAGGGAAGAGTTATCCACCTAGAGAGAAGGCCGTGCCATGTCAGTTCGTCCAAGAGAAAGGTTCACAGTGAAAATTATCCTGGTTTTATCTCAAATCTGGCAGGTCAACCCCAGGACGGATCTCGTCGAGTTATCAGCACAACTCATTTGAAAGGACAGATGGTTTGGGCCTGTTACGAAAATCCGGGAAAGCTGATCATTTTTGTGACAAAGATCCAAATTCATTCTTCTTCCCACTTCTCTGCGTTGCTGCTCCGCGTTGAACAAAAGAAACAGGAAAATCCAAACTACGAGGTTGTTCAGTGATACTGTTCTGACCAAGGCTTCCTAGACCGTAACTACGCACACGCTTATTTTAAAAACAAGACTTATTTTATTGCAACGCTGGGAAATGTTTTTCATTCCCAGCTGGAATTAATCTTAAACAGTCCCCCAAGATAAACACACACCTTTCAGTTCTGTGAAGTGAGGCCAAATACAGAAGTATCAAAATGAACTAGGGGAAAAAACCAACCGAAATACAAAGAGCTTCAAGAATGCATCTGAACCAAAAGAATGACTTTGCTTCCTGCAAAGGTTTTGTCATCTTTGCCTGACCTCTATACCTTATGGGAGGGGCAATCACCTCCCAGCCTTACTCCCGAGTCGCCCCTTTTGTTTCTACTGCTCTCGCCTTCTAGCAGCTCTGTGCACACTGGCACTGGGAACAGGCTCCCCTTGTTTCTCTGCCTAACTGCTGCCAGACTCCAAAGGCTCCAGAGGCAGCACCTCACTCCCAGATGGTCTGGCCCCATTTCTGCATTAGATGCAGGGCCCTCACCCAAGTCCTCTCCAGACTTCCGGACTGGTCCCTGTTCTTGTCCAATTCCGCTGCCGTCTGCACAGGCTGCCAGCAAACCCCAACAGATACGAACCCCAACCAATACAACCTACCGAACACTGATCTTGTGCTTGGTAATCTGACCTCTCCACTTAGATTTGGTTAATGGAAGAGAACAGATGGTAAAGGACACGGCGAATTGCTCTAATTCCCAGTGGCTCGATAAGTCTTGTTCCAGAGCTGAGAGGAACGACAGCTGAAAGAAGACGGTAAGATTTTCACCAACCTTGCAACCGTGAGCCGAGATGATCCTTAGGTCAGCCGGGACTCGATCTCCTCCTTTCACCTCGACCAGATCTCCAACCACTACGTCCTCCGCGTTGAGTTGCATTTTCTCCCCTTCTCTGATCACCAGAGCTTGCTTTGGAATGAAAAGCAAACATGATGCCATTAAAAAACATTCTGGATTTTCAGTCATGCCGACCCACGTTTCCCTAAAAACATTTCTTTGTCGATCGATCGTTTTCCAAAATTCATTGGCAACGCCACTCTCACACTGTCTAGGAATGTACCATGGGGATGATGGACATATCTGGAGTTTGCCATGTTGTCCCCAGGAGAAAACATTGTGTCATTCTTGTAATTATTATTGAACACATGTACCGCAAAGATTACTTATCAACTTCAACTCCCAGTAGCTGGCTGGAGAATTCTGGGAGTTGAAGTCCACAAGTTCTAAATGGTTGTCCTCTGTTTTATATGGTTGTCTTCACTCAAAGGCTTAACCTAGATAGACTTCTGATTAACCCTCTTTTTACAATGGACAATACACTGAATCCTGAATTAATTTAATGCCCTGGATTTGCACAACACTCACAACCAGAAAAAAACATGGTTAAAACTAAACTCGGCTTGGCACCTTATGCAACCCATTTCTTCTCACAAAATTCTCTGAAGTGATTCCTATTTTCTGCTCCCATTTTACAAATAGGTGAGCTGAAAGACACCATCAATGAAAATAATACCTATACATCACCTGTAAAAGATGACTTAGGCCTAGCTTTATGGAAAAAAAATTCTCTGTGCTCTCTGTCATTTTACCTCATGACTTTCCTGCTGTGTTGATTTACCTGACGGTGCTCCCATTTGCCTCTCTTATTTACCGTAAATATATCTATTTATATAAAACCACAAGTTCTTGTCAGCATCTCTGACTCCATTTGGACACCGACTGTGCAATTCCCTGACAAACTACCTGTTTACAGATTATCAGAGTTGGAAGGGACCTTGTAGGTCATCTAGTCCAACCCCCACCCACCCAAGCAGGAGACCCTACACCATTTCTGACAAATGGCAGTCCAGTCTCTTCTTAAAAGCATACAGTGATGAAGCTCCCGCAACTTCTGAAGGCAACTTCTGTTCCTTCAGTTGATTGTTCTGTCAAAAAATTTATCCTTATTTCCAGGTTGAATCTCTCCTTGTTCAGTTTCCATCCATTACTCCTTGTCGGACCTTCAGGTGCTTTAGAAAACAGCTTGACCCCCTACTCTCTGTGGCAGCCCCTCAAATATTGGAAGACTGCTATCGTGTCTCCCCTGGCTCTTCTCTTCACTAGACTAGCCAGGCCCAGTTCCTGTAACTGTTTTTCGTATGTTTTGGTCTCCAGTCCCCTAATCATCCTGGTTGCCCTTCTCTGTACTTTTTCTAGAGTCTCAACATCTTTTTTATAATGTGGTGACCAAAACTGGATGCAGTGCTCTAGGTGTGGTCTTACTAAGGCTTTATAGAGTGGTATTAGTACCTCTCTTGATCTTGATTGTATCCCTCTGTTAATGCAATTTAGGATTGCATTGGCTTTTTTGGCTGCCACTACCCATTGCTGGCTCCTATTTAACTGGTTGTCCACTAAGACTCCAAGATCCCTCTTACAGTTGCTGCTCTTATGCCTGTATGTTGGTGTCGATAGAAAAGACAACTTGTCATACCTGGGGCACCATATTCTTGAAGGATTCCATAATCTTAGAGCTTTTGGCCTCTTGGTAGTAGGAGAAGCAGCCGGTGATGATGACCACAGCTGCCAATACAATACCCAGGTACAACTGCAGAAGCAGGAAAGGTTGGATCACCAGAAGGTCCTTGAGATACCCTTTCTTCCTTCCTCCCACAAGGACACCCTCCAAAGACGTCACCCCACCAAAACTCACATTGTCTCCTGAAGGATCGTCTTCGGTTCCTGCCTGGATGCCGTAGGCGAGGAAGCAAAGTATGGCACCGATCCACAAGAGGATGGAGAAACCTCCGAAGAGCTGACGACAGAACTTGACCCATTCCGGAGTGGTTGGGGGTGGGGTGAGAGCATTGGGGCCATCGCGGGCCAGGATCTCTTGGGCTTTGCTGTGGGTCAGACCCTGATGTGGGGAGAGAAAAGAGGGATGAAACCACAGGCTGTGAAAGAAACTGTCAGGGGTTCTGGCAATTACCCTAACTAAATCATGAGCCTCGGGCCAAGCTTCCAAAGAATTCAAAAGATTTATTAGGAGCAACGTGTTGGCATTGTCCCATATGAAGCCAACTCTTGCCACACGTAATTTACGGTCACCCGTGACCCTGTTTCCCCCCTCCCCCTAGGTGTATCATAGATCAGATTCTCCAATGAAGCACTATCAATCATGTTCTCCAATTAAGGATTTTCGGCCATGTAGCCTAGCTACAATCTTTTTAAGATAAAGGAATGTACTTCTGGTTTTAAACAGCTGTATTACTTTAGATTTCCTCCACAACCTGGTTTATGGCAACTTGAAAACATGCATAGGAATGTTTTAGGAGTTGACAGAAACATCCATTCACCCAATCAATCCATTCTGATTGAAACTTTATTCAATCAATTATTAGACAAGTGACCTAAAGGTTTGCTATCTGCTGGTCAGCTGATTTCCTCCACCAGCTAGGTCATGGTGCTTTGGAGCCTCCAGGTAGACGTTCAACCAATCTCCAGTCCCTTGAGAAAAAGATAAAAATGTTCACTAGCCCTGAGTGGAAAGTCCTCACCTGCACACAATCTGTGTTGTATTTCCGGCAGACTTCCTCAATGGACATTTTGTGCTCTGTCTGAAACACAGGGCAAAAAGAGGACACTTAGAAGGACCTTCATCATCTCTTGCAGCTCCACTCAACCACCCGATGGCCATCATTGGATCAAGGTAGGTCATCATTCCCCATCTCTTGCAGCTCCATTCAACTACCCGATGGCCATCATTGGATCAAGGTAGGTCGTCACTCACCATCGCCACTTCCTTCTTGAGATCATCCAGATCCCGACTCTTCTGCTGGGCTTTGCTCTTCTTGGGTGAAGAATCGTCATGTTTGTCTTGGGTGGTGGCCACACGATAACTGTCTGAGCGCCCGTACTGTGTGTGAGAAGACCGGTGGAGACATGAGAAAATCACCCCCTTGAAAAATGCAATCTTTTATCTCAAATGGCTTTAGAATTTTCCCCAATTTGCCATATGCAGGAGATCCTCGACTTACAACCAGGGGTGGGATTCTACCAGTTCACACCTATTTACTAGAACCGGCTGTTAACATTCTAAGCAGTTTGGAGAACCGGTTGTTAGAAGAAATTACTGGCCTAATCCTGTAAGGAAGGCAGGAAGGAAACATTCTGGTGTTGCTTACAGAAACTGCCTGTCCGTTAACCCTTTTTACATTCTTGGCAGGACTAGACTTCCTGTCTCAGGAACTTCTCTGGAGTTTTCCCTCCTTTGCTGGTACTTTGCTTGTGTGGAGTGACCATTCAAAGTTACAATGGCACTGAAACAAGTGACATGACCATTTTTCACACTTATGACTGTTGCAGCATCCCCACATTCATGAGAGGCCAGGCAAGGAGATGCGTGCCTCGATGTGAGTGATATTGAGTTGGCCACACCCAGCCAATAACATGACCACCAAGCCATGCCCACCACCTAAGCTACGCCCACAGAACCAGTTGTTAAAAAATTTGAATCCTACCCCTGCTTACAACCACACTTGTTCAGGGAGTTTTGCCCTATTTTATGACTTTTCTTGCCACTGTCATTAAATGAATCACCCCACTTGATAAGTTAGTTACCCAGTTGTTAAGTGAATCTGGCATCCCCATTGATTTACTTGTCAAAAGGGGATCTCATGAACGGTCATAAGTATGAGTCAATTGCCAAGCATCTGAATTTTGATGACGTGATCATAGGGATTCTACAAGGATTGTAAGTGTGAAAAAACGACCATAGGTCAATTTTTTTCAGTGCCGTTGTAACTGTCACTAAATGAACTGTTGCAAGTCAAGGACTTACCCATACACCTGTTCTGAAAGTAACGGATAAATTAAGCCCTTCCAAAAGGGGAAGCCCTGGGTGGCTAATTCTCCTCCCAACAATTTGGATATGAAAGCAACTCCTGTTCGTATCTAATGGTTTGGAAGCCTTGACAGATTTTAATTGACATCAAGATGATTTAATCGACTATTTCTAATTTTACAGGCAGTCCTCAATTTACAACCATTCGTTTAGTGATTGTTCAAAGGTACAATGATGCCAAAAAAGTGACTTATGACCGGTCCTCAAATTTACGACCATCGCAACAACCCCATGGTGATACGGTTAAAATTAGGGTGGTTTGCAACCAACATGTATTTACAATCCCATAATCAAAAGGTTGGGGTTTTTTTGCAACCTTCCCAGCCAGCTTCCAACAAGGAACGTCCAGGGATGAAGACAGACCTGTTTAATGGCCATCTTTCATCTAACAAGTGCAATGATTTGCTTAACAACAGTGGCAAAACAATGGTAAAATCAGGCGCGGCTCACTTAGGAATTATTTTGTTTAGCAACGGAAATTCTGGTCCCACTCGTGATTGAAGACTGCCTGTATTTATGCTGGGTATTTATTTATATTTATTTATGCCCGTATTTATCTTCAGCATAAATATATTCAGGTAAATGGCTTAGAGCAGGAGTAAGTATCCCAAACGTTAGTCATTAAACATGGCTAGCAGAGTAATGTTCCATTCACACAATACTCCAGGCTGGGCTAAGATAGATCACCATTATTGTAGGAAAACACTGTCATTTTACCAGGTTGCGGATTCCTGGCTCTCATATCAAGTCATTACCTGGCTTGTTTCCTTTATGCAAAACCTGTTTCACAGACTCAGATAATTGTGTCTCATGAACACCCCCCCCCCATTAAGGATTCAATTTGTTGTGTGAATCTGACATAGCAGTTGGAGTGCAAATGATAGCTGTATGAGCATCCCAGCCCTGTCCTGTTTATGTCTCGATTTGTTTCAAGACTGGATTGATTCAGAATTTTTGGCACGCATTTGCCACTTCTTTACAAAACGAACCTTAAATGGTTAAACTATGCTTAAGGATTGCTCAGATCCAGAGAGTTGTTAAATCCAATCAGTCAGGGGAACTTAACCCTAACTAACAGATAGGAAATCTCCTAGTTCATACCCAAAGGGTGAAAAAGCCATTTTCCTTGCCTTGCTTGTGATAAATCTCTAGATTTGGCTGACTACAATGGGAGTAGAGTTATATTTACATGGCCCAAGGAGGCCAGACTTAAAAAGGCATTGTGTTGAAATATTAATATGTTCTATTTTTTCCCATTTGAACTGGAAGACATTCTTACAGGGTAGACTTAATTAAGTCAGTTCCTCTCCGTTACATTCCTCCACCTACGATTAGCCTACCTTACAAAGCTCCACAATTGAAATTACAGATGGAAAAATGTTCTGCTTTTCAAGACTTTTCACTTTGCCACTCATATAACATCTTTTGTCACTTATATCCCTCTGAAACAGGTGAGGAACAGGACGAGGGCAGTATTTCTCAACTTTGGCACTTTAAGATATGTGGACTTCAACTCCCAGAATTCCCCAGCCAGCAAGTTGAAGATATGTGGACTTCAACTTCCCCAGCCAACAATTCTGGGAGTTGAAGTCCACATATCTTAAAGTTGCCAAGGTTGAAAAATAATGGCTAGAGCAAGAAAATCTCAATTCAAGTGCACCCTTAGCACCCTCTTAACACAACTTGCTCCACACGGTTGTTATTGTTGCAGGGAAAAAAAATGGAGAAGAAAGGGTTAGGCCTTGTTTTCTGGAGGAATTGAAGGATTTAAGACAGTAAAACCAACCAACCAATAAATAATAAAGTGCATTTTTCTTTTCCCAGTGAGAAATTAGCTTAAAATTTGGGGGATCATCATTTCTGTTTGATCCTGATATCTTTTCCAGACCATTTCTGCAAAAATGAATTGTTAGCAGAGTTACAGCTCCGGAGAACCCCGATAAAATATATTCTGTAAAGAAAAAAAACCACCTATGTACCACGATTCTTACATGGTAGGTCTCTCCCTTCTAGTGAAAAGAGAACCATGGAGGCTAATATTTCAGAAGCTAATTTCTTATGAAATGATAGCATGGAAATTTCATTAAGATCTGTTATCAAACAGGTTGCTGCCAGACCCTCTTCAAAACCCCACTAACTCCACAGGACTCTAATTAATTATTTGTCATTATTTCTAATGGTTACAACAGAGGTCTCCAAACTTGTTAACTTTAAGACTTGTAGACTTCAACTCCTAGAATTCTGGGAGTTGAAGTTCGCAAGTCTAAAAGTTGCCAAGTTTGGGGACCCCTGGTTTACATGAATGCAACAGAATGTGGGGACAAGATTTGCGTTGGCTCCATACCTGACAAGTGTCTGAAATTTATAATTTCTATGTAACCTCACAAATCATTTTTGGAATAGGCTCACCGAGGGACTGAATCAGTCACCGATTGAATGAACTCATCAGGGAGAGTCCTCAACTTACAATAGTTCGTTTAGTGACTGCTCGAAGTTACCGCGGTAGTGAAAAAAGTGACTTATGACCATTTTTCACATTTAAGACCATTGCAACATCCCCATGGTCTAAATTCAGATGTTTGGCAACTGACTCATACTTACGACCATTGCTGTGTCCCAGCCTGTCATCACATTTTGCAGCCTTCCAACAAACAAACTCAATGGGGAAACCAAATTCACTTAACAGCTATTGTTACTAACTTCACAACTGCAGTGATTCACTTAACAACCGTGGCAAGGAAAATAGGGCAAAATTCACTTAACAAAAATTTCGCTTAGCCACAGACATTTTGGGCTCAGTCGTGGTCATAAAGACTGCCTTGGATTTGCGATTATTTGCAACGTTTACACGAATGCGACAAGAGGAGGGGGGGAAATTAGCACCAGCCCTTTACCTAACAACGCGCTGAAATTTATAATTTGTGGGTAATTTCACTGATCGTTTTTGGATTAGACTCACCCAGGGGCTGAATCAGTGAAAAAAGGAAAATAATTGTACCCCGGGGGAGGAAAAAAAAAATGGATGAGCTACCTATCAGCTGAAGCAGAGTCTGGATGTTATCCACGAAAGAAGAAAGATGAGATGACATCAATAAACATGCCAAGAACATCCAAGGAGAAATTGAATGACCTTGGGATGTCCTTGCCCAGAGGCCCAACAGCCATCTTAAGCAGGAACCGGGCATGTCTAGTCTAGTGAAAAGAAGGACTAGGGGAGACACGATAGCAGTCTTCCAATATTTGAGGGGCTGCCCCAAAGAAGAGGGAGTCAAGCTATTTTCCAAACCACCTGAAGGCAGGACAAGAAGCAATGGGTGGACACTAAGCAAGGAGAGAAGCAACTTAGAACTAAGGAGAAATTTCCTGACTGTCAGAACCATTTAATCATTGGATGTTCCATCACTGTGGGTGCACCATCACTGGAGGCTTTTAAGAAGAGATTGGACAGCCATTTGTCTGAAATGGTATGAGGTTTCCTGCCTGAGAAGGGGGTTGGACTAGAAGACCTCCAAGGTCCCTTCCAACTCTGTTATTCTCTTATTCTGCCAAGCAGGCCTTACTGGGAAGGTGGGGGAGGGGGGTGTCGTTGGATGGATGGACGAGCAGCAAAGGAAAAAATAATCCCTGCCCAAAAAAGCCTGGCTCCGGACCGCCAAGCGTCCTAATTTAACCTACCCTTTAATAAGCAGCATTATCCTTTTTATCAATGTTACGCAGAATAGACACCGCTCGCCTTCCTGGTCACGTTTCCCGATCATCACCGTTAAGACGTGGCTATTGAAAGCTCGGAAATCGTCACATGGCAGGGCCGGCGTGCTGCCCACCCAACGCAGCCGTGCAGAAAGATCACCATGAAGGAGGCGGGGGGGGGGGGGGGGGGGAGGGGGGGGGGGGGCAAAAATGGGAGATGGAGGTCTGACATCGATCCCTGCAGCTTTCCTTGTGTTTTCTTCTTCTTCCTCTTCTCCAGCTGCGTTACCAGGGGACAAGGTTTGGGCCCGAGAAGT